ATAATATACTATAATAATTATTCTTATTATAGCTTTTAAAATAGTTACAAAATTACTAGATATAGTCAATATTTGATTGCGTAATGTGCGTGTAAAGAAAATACTTCTTTTATAGCAATTAACTTTTCTCTTTCTCTTAATACTAACATCACGGAAATTAGTTGTGAAAGGAGTTGATGTGTGAGTGCATCTTCCACACATCGAAGCCAATTAACTTGAAATGATCCAAAGGGAAATGGCACCAAATAAGACGAGTATAACAGGCATATTTTATGCATGATTGCATATTTTTGTATTAAGTTACATAATTTCTTTTTTTCTTTTCTTTTCTTTTTCTATCAATATTTTAGAATTTGACTGAACATCATCATCATCATCATCATCATCATCTTGAACCATATGATGATATTAAAGCCTCAGGCAGTGCTGTTAGTTCAGAAGATAGTTGCTATGGAAGTAATGATTTATCAAGATCAAGTTCAAGTGCACATGGTGTTACAAGACCTCTTCTTACACCACAACATCGTTCATCAAGTCTTAGTTCAACTAGTGTTGATTATGCTGTTCCAGCTCCACGACAACATTCTATATATAATAATAAAATTGAAAATATAAATATTCATCCATCGATTATTAATACTAATGATAATTTTCAACAGCAACAACATCATCTTAAAACATTTCATTCATCATCAAATCATTATAATTTAAAAACAACTGTTCAATCATTTACTCGACGACCTATTGTTAATTTACAGTCAACATATTTAACTTATGATACAATTGATGCACCACCATCACTTCCGAATCAATCATCGAATTCATCATCATCATCATCATCAACAACAACTAGTACGACATCAAGAGAATACAGTATTTGAAAGATTTATCTTGTTTTCCTTTGTTTTTTTTTTCGTTTCATTTTGTATGCATTTTGAAACAGTGTGTTTGTTTTTTTTTTGTCTCATTAAACTAAACATGTACTTTTGCCTTATGTTTTATTTCATATTTTTCTTCTCGTTTTTAAGTAAATATGATGCTAAGACATAGTATCATTGTCTTAAACAAATCTAGCAAAATAATATTATTTCGTTCTCAATTACATATCATTCTAATCCACGAATACGTATAAATCTGATAACGATTATCTTCATATTGTTGATTATATAGATTAGAGTAAATGACAGACACTAGCAAGAAATCATAGATACAAAAGAAATTTATAAATTTTATCGACTTACATTGATCATTTTAAAACATAAATGTCCATTGCAATTAGAAATCTGCTGCAGTGTGATAGCGGTAATGGGCATCTCTGTTCTAACAGCAAAAGAACAATATTATTCGAATTCGTTTTTCTTTACTTTTGAAGGTTTTAATATTAGAAAACAATTATCGCACGGATTTCATCTATTTGAAAAAAAAGGCTATAGTTTATGATCTACTTCTCAAAAAAAAAAAAAAAGAAAACAATTCTATGAATAACTTTTTCTTATAAATAAATGTATCTTTGAGTCAAGCATACAACATAAAATTATTAAGCTAAACAACAATAGAAGATATTGAGTTGCAATTATATTGAATAGAAAATATTAGAAGCGGAATATTAATTTATTAATGAGTATGTATGAAAGAAAACTTACCTGATAGCAATGTAACAGTAAACAACAAATCAAAATAATACAGTTTAATATAATTTTTACAGTCAATCTAAAATTTTCGACTTTTTTTTAATGAAGTACGGTCATCGTTCTGCAATAAATAAGGTCGAAAATTGTAGATTGGTTGTAAAATTATATTAAACTGCACTATTATAATTAATTATTTATTATTTTATCAGATTGAAACGACATAAAAATGTCGACTAATATCCATTTGAAAATAAAAGGCTAGTGGTTATTTTTCGAATAACTCTTCAACGGAAAGAGCTATCAGTCTGCGGGTTTCATGATTAGAAAGAGACTGACATTCTGCATCTTTCTATATACTAATTAATAAAATTAGCTCATAAATCTAATGAGCAGTTAGTGTGAAATTCAAAGAAGCAATTAAAGTGCTTTGAAAAAATGTATAGAATTTCAATTATAAGGAGTGGATTAGATTCGATTCGTCTATTGAAGTTCTATAACTTTACATAAATCCGAAATTTTTATTTTGTATCATTCAAAAGATATACACTCAATACTGATCATCAAATATGCTTGAAACAATCTTTCGTGAAATTTTTCAAGATTGAATAATTGTATGTCTCTTAATAAATAGTTCGAGTATTATATAGCTTGCCCGTCAAACATTATTTGCTCGATTCAGTGGAGTTGGTATGGGCAGGATTGAAGCAATATGTACGAGATAATAATGTCAACTTTCGTCTCAATAACGTTTGATAATTATCACAAAAATGAATGTTAGACTTAAAAGCAGATACAGTTACGGCTTACCTCAATCATGTATACAATATTGAAGAAATGTTCAAGAAATCTGATGCTTTTACCGAACAACTCGAAGACAAATTATTAGATGATAAGGAACTGGATTCCGAGGCTAAAGAAATAACTAATTGATAAACAAAATCTACTTTTATTTTGTTGTTTCATACTATCAAATATTGATTTAAAGAAAATAATTGCATATCTAATTAAACGTGCTAAAAAATATATTCCACATGTAGGAATATGTTGTGTCACCATGGTTTGCAACTAGAATTTGCGATCGGTGGTGTAATGTAATTAGCACTGCTTGTACATAATAAATAATGATTTCATTACAATATGAACACTTTCATTCTTTTTAAAATAGTCGAAAACCTCAGACTGATAGCTCTTTCCATTGGATAGTTATTCGAAAAAATAAGAATCTGTCTGTTATTTTCAAATGGACATTAGTTCTTTTGACAAAAAAATGTAACATCTATGCTTTCTTTCGCCTTATTTTCTTCAAAAAAGATATTATTTCCTAACAGAAATTAGTGAGTTTGATGTTTTCTTATTCTAAATCATTATTTAATACAACTGAAAGGCTTCCCAATTCATAAAAGACTACTATTGTCGATAGCAAGACAAAGTGAGTTACTAAATTTGATTTCTATGCTGACTCCATAGTTTTAGTTTCTGTAAAACTTAGACATCCTCACAGTTACATGAAGCAACGGTAGGCAAAGCTTCGATGACAAGGTTAAAAGCAGCCCAAAAATGTGAGTCACAAATTTCGAGATATAAAATCTTTAGTTAATACCGAATTTAACTTCAAATGATTAGCTAACTTTTTATGACCATAACCAATACATTCAGCATGTTCCGGTGCACTTATTGTAATATGAAAAAGCGTGCATTCAAAATTTAGAGCTAGCATTTAGATCACAACTAGTAGAAATATTTCAGTTGGAAATTTCCATACTGATATATCTGGACTGCTATAATAGTGAAGATCAATAAAAACCAGCGAAATAGACAAGCTTCAGTGCGCTGAAAATTGTTAAGAAAACTGGCCGGTTTTAAAAGTTCAACCGGACCGGGTCACTGATTCCGAGTCGGATCGAAAGACACTATTATGATAGAAAAAAAAATACGTAGAATGTTTATTGTAATTATGAATGTGATCTCATGTGAGATAAGCTCGGATATATCGAAGTGTGTCTTCAATAAAATTTCTTGCTTCTGAGCAAGCATTTTCTAAATTTGAATTGTCCCAAAATGGATTCAATAAACTCAAAATTTCAAGCTCTATCAATTTGTATAAGTGCCTAGTGATACGGTGCTCAGAGTGGGTTACAGCGTGTTTTTCTCAGTACCCATTATCTGTCACCAACACATACTGCATTAGATCGTTTTTGTTTAAGGTCAGACGTACATTGCATGCATCAGTCGGAAAAAAACTCCTTCCAACATAAAAAGAGTGATTATTTATGGCGACGATCTATTTGTGCTCGTTATTCGGTGAAATCCTTCTTTCACTTTGATTCTATGGACGAACGACAACTTTCTCGCACAAATATGCATACGTGTTGTTCTCTTTCTTTACGTCATAGAATTTTTTTCGCATAACTAGTAATAAAAGCAAAAAAAAACAAACACGTGTGATGGAAAAAGTGAGAAAGAGAAAAAGGTAAGTTGCATTTCTTTAAAAGGTTTTCTCCGTTTTACAATTATAAATGTGAAAAGACGACTTACGCAACTCATACTATTTAAATAGAGACAATAAATGATATTCTATTAGAAATGAATACACATGGAGAACAAGTCAATCTTGTTTGGTTCGATCCCAACTTGTTCAGTGAGGATAATACAGTGATATTAAACAATTTATTGGATGAATTTCCTAACATACAAACACTTGTCGAAGAAGAACAATTTTATACATTAGTTGAAGGTCGTGCAAACCGACGAATAGTGCTCATTATTAGTGGTAAAAAAGGTGAAGAGATTATTCCTAGAATTCATGATCGTTCGGATATTCTATCGATATATGTGTATTGTGGACAAATAGCAAAATACAAATATTTGGAGACAAACTACTCAAAAGTAGGATATTATTCGTAATAATTTTAATAATTGTAGCATTATTATCTATATAGGTCCAAAAGGTCATAAATGATCCTAATGACCTGCTTTCTACGATCAAATCAGAACCAAATTTAAGCAAATGACAATGAATTGGCAAAACAGTCTTTACAATGAAAATGTTTAAAAGTTTTTTTTTTCGAAGTAAACTGTTTATCAATCACGTTATATAGGTGAAATAAAATAGATAGTAACTGATTTATATTTATTTATGATCAGGAGAACACTTTCACAATGGTTTGTGGGTGTGAAATGTGATTTGACTCTATTCGTGAAATACTGGCTGCAAATTAACAACTACTAGTTGATTTACAATAGACAACTCGATTGCACCTGTAGTCGACCTAGAATAGTGGATGAGTGTGTGGGTATGATGTTCCTCTTGTGTCGTCCAAGGCAACATCCACACTCGAAATTTTTTCAATATTTCGAATTTTCGACCGGAAGAAAGTGTTCACTAAGGCTAAAGACTTGATATTCGTGATCAGCAGCTCCAGCCCTATCAGATGATGTGAAAAAAATTTCTACTTGAAGTTCAAATTGCTTGCACTTTACTCTATAAAAATTTGATATTTTGAATCAGCAATATATAACAAAATGTTGTTTCTAAGAGAACAAATCACGTGAGTAGTATTTTTTTTATGACGGTTTATGTTGTCACAACATGTTTTATTTATGTAGTCACGTTATAATCTTCTTTCAATAAGTGAAAAGAAAATCGAATTTCATTTCTGTTTTAAGTTTATTTTACACGTAACATTGTCTTGTGCTTTACTATATCCATTCAAAACAAATTGTGAGTGAAACAAAAAAAAGGAGATGAAGTTAGAATTCTTACCAAACGAGCTCTTACTCGATCTATTCAATTATTTTAATGGTGTTAATCTTTTTCGTACATTTTATGATTTCAATTGTCGATTCAATTTTCTTCTATACAAACAAACTCAGAATCATCGTTTGAATTATGAATCTGTTTCGAAACGTGATTTCGATATGATGTGTCAACAACGTCTATCGATTATTGCTGATCGAATTATTCCTTTTTTTGTCTTTCTAACAATGATAATATCCCAGGACAAATCAATCTGTTTCTTACTCACATACCATCACTCAATTACGATCACTTTCAGTACGCTATGTTTGTTTCTATGGAATAATAATGAAAATTGTCGATGAATATCATCGTCTTTGTAATCTTACCCATTTAACAGTCAGTTGCTACGATTTCCGAGATGATCCATCGATTTTTCAGTTTCTTATAAATAATATTTGGAGTTTACCCAAACCTATTCATTGCAGTTTTAGTGATGAGACTAAAGAACTAAAGTTTTTCCCCCATACCGACAAGAGTCTTTTCATCGCTTGAGATTGTGACGATATCTATAATTAAACTTTCATTACCACAGAAAATCAACAGTTTCAATATACACCTTATCTGAAGGACCTTTATGTATCTTTTGACTATTCTAGTTATCATTATAACGCTGTTAACTCCTTCAACATTCATTGATTTAAATCTTAACGGATATTTTATGTTTGACGGCTTAGTAATAAAATTTCTGCAAAGTCTGTCCAGTTTAATTCGTATGAATATCAGTTTATAGTCTGCTGGATTAATCGATGATTATCAATGGGAACAAATTATTCGAAATCACTTGCCTCAACTTCAAGTATTTCGACGCAAGATGGAACAGGAAGTCTTGCTCAACCAAAATATAGAACAACGCGTTGATGTATTAATTAATTCATTTCCAATTTCATTTTGGATTGATGAAAATCAATGGTTTGTTCGATGTTTTATAACAAACAATACTATTTATCTCTATACTTTATTTAAATCACTTTGGACGTGGTTGTGGGTTTGAGGTTAAGTAAAGGAGAAACAGCTGCACCCACATCCGAATAGATTTATGCTTTTGCTATCTGCATATCATTTCAGCTTATACGAAAAGAACTGATAACTATTTTCAATATAGAGAGCTAAATTGGAGCTGTCACATACTTGTTCATGTGTATTCTGTTTTGACTATTTGGATGAACAGAAATAATGGAAAATAAAAATTTATGACACAATGTCGATTATAGTTTGTTTTCGTTCCGCTCTCTTTTACAAAATAGATGTCCGGTCGTTACTACATTGTTAAAAGTGATTGAAGTTTTTGAAAGAATAGTTTCAACAAAGATCGTCATGTAAACTTGCACAATCTCTTTGTATGCATGAATCAACGAAATATAGTTACGTTGATAAATTTTTTGCAATGATTTCCAAGTATACATATAATTGATTTTCTTTTAACATGGAGAAGAAATGGAATACCTTTTCTTGCAGTTGTTTGTAACGCTCGAACGTGACTGTATGCAACCGAAAATGATTGAGATTGAACAGAAAACTTTCATGATCACCGATGCATAGAGATTTCAAGGTTTCAATTAGATAATATAAAGATGAGTTTTTGTCGTTAAATTTTGTAAGAAGTTTCAGAAGTTAATCAATAAACGGGAGTGTAGATGTTTCATTTGGTATGATACATTGTCAAAAAATTTGCATTAAAGTCTCGAGATATCGAAATATTGTTTTCGATGCTTCATTATCATCATATTTCGATTTCATCTCATTCAGAGTAGCATCAAGTTGAGGATAATGAATGATTGGAGCCAAATCATCCAAGACAAAATATCTCGTTGAAAAATGTAGGATATACGTTTTCAAATCGGTCGAATGTCTTTCAATCAATTGTGTTAATATAGAAGCGATCGTTGCGATTTGATCTTGGTGAAATAAATGATCAAATAAACTGGAAATATATGTATTTAGGATCAACACTCATCTGACGATAAAACGATGCTATCCTCATCACTGCACTACTGATCAAACAATTGAACGCATTTCCAAATTCATTTTGAACGAGACTCAATTTGTAGAGGATTATTTGTAATGTAACAATCATCTCTAAATGCTCTGGATTGTTATCAAAGTATGTTGAAAATTGTTCGATGAAATAATCACGACATCCATCGTTGTTCATTCTAACCATTTTTCTGTAAATATTCCACCTAGGTTTCCAGTCAACATGTGTCATCCTATCCAGCGCTTTACTATAATATTTTTCTGCATTCTCATGCTCATTTCGATAACGATAGAGATCAGCAATGGCGACAAATTTCTCACAGGAACATGTTTCTTCATCAATCAATGTAGGAATCGTATCCGTATTAGAAGATATAGATGAAAGTATCTGTTGGTCTTGTCCCATACTATTGAGAACTACTTGATAAAAAAATCTTTATTGACGAATGGGACCAAGAGTTTTAACTGTTGTATGGTTTTTAAAATATCAGAAGCTGATATTGAGATAGTTGCCGGCACTGGATATGCACGGGCTTGATTACAATAGCTTTCTGTACGATCGATATCACCATTTTGGAGAGAAGCAACTGCCAACAAAGTAAGAACGACCCAAAGGAAATCTTTATTTGTGGAAAAATGCAAATTTTCCAGACATTTTTTTCAAGGTTCAATCGCTTCAGCAGTCCTTTTCATTTAACATGAGGTAATATCCGTACATCATATTCATACCAGCAAATATTCGATGCATTGATGGATAGTAATATTCCAGAAATGTTTTGGCTTTTTCCATGGTTTTTAAAGATTGTGTCTTATTGTTCATTCTAAGGTATACGGCAGCCATTTACAAGTAAATTGTTCCATTACAGATTATTTCCGCTGAAGAAGGTATACCAGATTCGATCTCTGTGGTTTCTTCCTAATGATTGAGTGCATCAACAAAGTTCTGTTGATCAGAACAAATGTGACCTAAGTGCAATAGACGTAGTTTTTCATCGGTCCTCTCTTGCAATCGTTGTTCATGCATTATTGGTTCAAGCATTGTTACTGCTTCATTTACCTGAGATTCGGAGTGGTCTGATACTAAAAGGGATGAAACAACTAAAGTGGCAAACCATGGACGCATCCAATATGTGGTCGATGACTGTAATGCTTTGGAGATGAACTGAATAGATTCTGATGCTTGTTTATGTTCCTTTAACATACCATAGGATGTTGCCAATATTGCATGTAAAAAGACTTTCAATTTTTCATCGATCGATTCATTTTGTAAAAGAATTTCAATATACTGAATATTCTTCAAACAATCGCCGGTGAACATCAAAAATCCACCGAAACAAAGTAAAGATGCATTATCATTTTTCTCAAACATATTTTGTTTCTTTTCACGATCATTTTCGGCAGAAAGAAATTCATCGAAGATATCCAACAAGAAATAAATCGATCTTGTATTCTGATAGATGACATCGATACTTGTTTGTGTAACCAGCGCATTTAAATTCGGCTTCTTCTCAATAAGTTGCTTTATTCGACCTTCTTTTCTGTATGCACTGATAATAAATTGTTTTATGATATCGATAAGAAAGAATTTCATTAGTTCTATTAATCACTTTGGGTAGCTATGAGAATCGATGGTTAGCAATTGTTTCAAAGCGATGATCGATGTCCGTCGATTTAATATCTGATATAAGTAATTTTTTAGTTCATTTATCAGTTTTTGTACGTGTCCATCTTGTTTAACATCGGTTAATTCTAATCCAACAACGTAGAAAATATTCCAATCATCTACAGAAATTATTTTGAATACAGAGTCGATACTAAAGACAATTTCTTTCTCATCTTTCATCTTGCTAATTTCACTGATATCGGCAAATGTTTCGAATCGTTGACCGTTATTTCAAAGAGCACGGGTGTATTTTCTTTGCTATCAGCAAAGTAAAAAGTGGCAACCTTAGACTTCAATGTTGTTGATAAAAATCCATTCATCGATATCAAACCGTCGATATTCGCTTGAATTTTATCAAATTCATTGTTGCCAAAATTAGTTTGCCCACGATAAACGGTCAATGGCAGTTGAAGTTTTTGGTTTGTTTGCTGTTGAATATGTAAATGTCTCAATTCATGATGAAAATCTTTGATCATACAATGAAATCGGACGATGACATCACTATTCAGTGTTCGACAAGCCTTGTTCAATGCATGATAGACATATGAATTACTCGTGTACCATTCGAGAACCGA